TATTTTGCTGTTTTACACTGTATGTGATAGCTGAAAGAAAACGAAGAATCTTTCTGCATAGTATTGGTAAATACTGAAGTACTGAATTAATATTATACGCATATATGTCATGCATGCGTGTGCCTGTCATTCGAAATGAACTACAAACGATTGTATTGCTGAAGGACGTATGTCGATTTCACTATACCCATCTTGTTTCTGGCATTATTGGTGACTGTGATAGTGGTTTACTATCACTTGCTGGCAGCTATACCCAGGTGAACAGCAAAATATTGCAAAGATGGACAAGCGGTTGGCGAAGGAAGGATTCTGACACAGTAACTTTAGTTTTAAAACGGTTTCAGAATGAATTTACTTTCGGAGTTTGAACAGCCTGATAGCCACTGTCGTCCGATTCTCCTCGGTGTATGCAGTGTTGTGTGATTGAGAAAATTTGTTGATGCCTGGCAAGGGCTCACATCCATATTGTCTCTTTCATCTGGCGACAGCACCCGGAACGAATCCGGTCGTTGATTGGTCGGTGTTGTTCGGGGAGGGCCTGCTTCAACGGCACTTCTCGCCAATCACCACCCTATGCGCCATTATCGTAATGACGATCGGGTAATTGGCACGCGAAGCCGGTCGGCTGTGTTCATTGTCGACACGAGTGGCTTACACGTGCATTTCTGGTTTGTATTTACGATCCGTCGTCCGTCTGTCTGTCCGTCCTTCCGTACGCCCGTGGCATTTGCGCCTTACCTTCTATGCTTTCGTTTGGTCCAAGACCTACCACGTTGTACTTTGATGGTAGTACCATCCGTCGGCTGACCTCATTCCTCACCTAGTCATCGAGTGACTGTGTTGTCGGATTTATTTTGTTGACCGATTCGATCGCCTGTGTGTCGTTTTCCTGATGGGCGTTTATCGAATTCAGGTATTAGCGATATTTGTTGCTTCTCCGTCAAAGCTTATTTGTGTGTATGTGTATGTTTGTTGTTTTGTGTTTGTGACATGCTGCTGTCTGTCGGATCCTCATTGACGCGTCCCCCCATTTTTGCATGTAATCAGTGCAACAGATGAGGTGGCAACTGACTCGGTGTGCTCTTTTCGTCATCCTCGTCGGTCGTGATAACAGCGCTGTTGTTAAAGTCTCGCGACGCGATAGCAACGGGTGATCCTCAGCTTGCTACTTGCTCGCACGTTTCGCTTTGTTTTCGTCGGCGCGCTGCGTTCTTTCTGCGGGTGGTACACAGTTGACGACGGCAAACTTCACGGCTTAGTCGTGGCTGTTTGTCAGCAGCAGACGACTGCGGTCAGTGAGGATATGAGGAGACGACCAGACACCATCTGACGTTCGAATGACCGCCGTTCGTACCTGACGAGCAGGCCCTGTTCCTGTCTCCCTTCTCTTTCACTTATGCTCAATCGACCTTTGACTCAATTATACGTTACGGATGTTCGTTTTATTCATTTCCGCTTCAAGTGGACGTCCGTCTTTCAGAGTTTCCGATCAGGCGCCCAAGCAATATTAAAGTAATCAAATGATTGACTGATTGATTGATAAGTTCTGTGATCTGGATTACAAGGCACGTTAATTACAAGATCGGTATCGTTACTGTAAAATCTTATTTTATTTACTCTAATGGTAGAGCGCTGTCTGCCTCATCCGTTCAGAACGTGCAGCGACTCATTGCTGACTTATCTTCGTCGTCTTTTTGTCGATTTTCTGCAGCGGTTGTCGTGCTGCTACGGCCCCGGCTGCCAAAAGCAGTGAGCAGTTTCTCATCGCTGACTTTTTCCAGGCTGCCTCAATTTCTAAGTAATCTTCGCGGCCCTTGGTATCCCGTTACAGCGTGCGATAACGGCAGTACGGTCAGGGTCAGTAGTGGCACTTTTGTGGCAGACCTCGGTACGATCCCCAACCTTCCTCCTTTTCATTCGAGCTTGAGACTGGCAACGGAAGAGTTAAATGACGACCCAAAATGAGTAGTGGTCAGTGAAACTGACTGACATTTCCAGATCTTGTGTATAATCCAGTCATTTCGTTCAATGCCTTTCCTTCTTTCCTCATTCAGTGGTTGTGCCGAGAGAGTGTCTAGCTAGTCTCCCTTGTAGCATCATCGTTTTAGGCCCAGACTCTCGTAATAGTATTCTTCCTACTTGGGGAAGAGGCGGAAGAGGCTAGTGATTGTGGCATGGAGGTTGTGGTTTGCGATTTGTCACGTACAACAACAAAGAACTGCGACGAAACGAGGTTTAATAATGGAATGGCAACGTTCTGATCTGAGCTATAGGTTAGGTCAGTCAGATCCCGTCCAGTCGTCGGTCTGCAACGGCACAGCCGCCGTACAATGACCACGTGTGTTTCACTTGCAGGATTTATTACTACGATGAAGGGACGACATTCGAACGCGATCCGGTCGACCAGCCTGTCGGTCGGTCGGACAGACGATTTGTGACCGACGATGTTGTTTTCGTCATGCATAGGCTGGCCGAATTCACATTACACTCTGCGTATGTTTACAGTGTAACGGAACCGACCCCGGCACACGACGGTGGTTTTAGTGATCGGTAGTGTTGACGGTGCGTCTGATTTTATTGCTTCGCTCCTCACCGGAGCCTCGGTGTTTATTTCATTTATCACAGCCTCCGACATTGGGTTTCGATTTGAGTTCAGGTTCGGGTTCTGTAGGATATCGCCGTCGGTTGAGTACCGAACTCTTGGTCGAAAATTGCAGGTGTCAGTCAATGACCAGATCATTTGTTTGTCATCCTTTCAACGTAGAAACGTGCCTGCGACACTGAATGGTAATTGCAGTGCTGTACCCATCTTCCTGATTAGCGCATCTCTGACTGATGGCTCATGACTCCTAAAGATTAGATTTTGCAGCATGTTGCATTGTTCTGGTTAGGGGACATTTAAGCAGCCAGCTACTCCATGTGTATGAGTACCCTCAGTGCTAGGTGCGTCTCGCACCATTTTATTCTTTACAGCAATTTCTTGCTTACCGCCGCAGATGTTGTAATATAAGTGTCGCAACCGGTACCGAGTCGTAACCTCGAAGAAACGGCATCACCGTAAATACTGTCCATCGTGAAAGTGAAATAGGGGCCGAGATCCAAAAGGTGACAGACTTTCCTTTCGATCTGAGCCAGTCATTAAACGCATTCGGTTTAACTATCATGGCTGGTACAAACGTTGTCCACAGTCGCTTCTATAATGAAAGATAATGCCGCATCGAATATGCGTGACCCATGTATGTAACCTAGATAGTTTATTATTAGAGGAAGGTGTTGTCTGATCGGCGACGTAGACTACTTCCTCATCGATTTAACAAAGCATGCATGAGAACGAACTATATGCCGGCACCACTTCATTAATTACTTTTACTGCATGTACTTATTACCGTGGACCGGTTATATACCCCCTGGTCAGTTTGTAAACTCGTTTCTCGTTGTACATACGTTCCCATCCTAAGCAGATCCGTTGTACGGGGACATCAATAACACTCGCGCGATATTATAATAGCCGATGCGGTCTGGAAGGTCGCTGAACCGTTCACAAATGTCTTCGCGTCGTATCACATTTAAAGTGTCACCAATTGTCCGATCGAACAACTAGCTTGTAAATCATGTAATTGCAAGGATCGTCGCATTGGACATGCATCTATCAATATGTTGTTCTCGCGGCAACCGTCAAAAGTGTAGCAAGGCTTCAACAACAAACTATTTCTAAGATTACTGAGGTATGAGGTCAACACGCAGTTCATGTTGTTTTTAAGTTTCCGTGTATGAATGCTGTTTCTGTGATAACAATGATAAAGAATCGTTCAGATTGGCTATGTGACCTACGTGATGTGGTAGCATGGTATCACTTATTCTTTTTTTGCCAAGATCTTATCATCTGCTGCTAATCCGGACTTGAATCATCAGCATATTCGACATGAGCGATGTGCCGTACAGGAATTGCACTTGGATGTTACTGTGCTGTTATGCCGTATATCACCACCAACTGTACGGTTTGTCAAGGTCAGTTATGTTTACCTTGCTAGAAGGGTCATACGCAGATGCACCTGAGATCGGCAAAGTTGCAAAAGCCAAATCTCTCAAAGTGATGATCTCCACTCTGAATACTACATGTCCACAATGAGCGTCGCCTGATATCACCCTGAAATATCATTCATAACGGTCACATATGAATCCGCGTTTGTCCACTGTTGAAATTCTGTTGGCCTTAGATGATGAAAAAACAAACAGCAAACTTCATATTCTCTCATTTATTTTACCCATACACGTAACTGGCTGTTGTTCACCGATCGTATTACTGCCTCGGAGCCAAGCCCACGCGCATTTTTAAATATGTATAATTTTGTTGAAAAGCGGTAATATTCAGTTTCCGTACGTCGAACCACCAAAGTTACTGATTGTCTCAAATAAGCCGTTTGAATTGTGTCTCAGACCACCGCCAGCCATAACAAAAAGCGGTCTTCAAAGAGGGTGTGTTGACGCACCTTCGGCCGGTCAGCCTTCAGATTTTACGCAACGCATGTACGGTGAGTAGTGTACCCCCACAGATCCAGTCGTTTAATACCAAGATATCTGACCTCAGTCGTCATTAATCTGCATACCCG